TATTGCTCCACGGCTGGTCCCAGCCTTATGTGACATTTAATAGAGCCATCAATCATGGTCCCAGTCCAGTAACAGGCATTAACCCACACATCAGAAAGCTTAGTAGTTTGATTAAACTTTACTCTGAACCAAGGACGGGTCCAATGTGAAATGTCTGTCAGGAGGACAGAGGCTTACAACAAATTAGCTGGTGCTGAACGATGCTTATAAGAATATAAGGAAACATAGAAATAAGCTGAATGTATGATCAGTGTTTATTCACAGAACGTAGTGCAAGTCACTGAGGGATCTTATGACATGTCCTCTTGCTTTAGGAGAATCTCCAGCTGTTACAGTTCAGCATTTTATCGGTGGGGTTCCACAGTGCAGACTGCGGTCAAGCCACAGTAACAATTTGATTCATTCTTTAAAAAAAAAAAGACCACCTGTAGTCCTGTAGACAATATGCTGTAAAGGAGGTGGATAATGATAAAGGCATTGCCTGTGCATGGACCACCATTGATTTATATATAAAGCTTTGCTCATAGAAACAGCATTTCTTAAAACATAGCTTTTGTTTCTTCTCTAATGAAGGAAATTTACCCGACTCCTGACAGGATTTGCTTAATGGCTCTTTTAATGGGGAAATGAAAGCTACGTTTTAAAAATAGCCTGTTCCAACACTTATCCATAATGGTCCATTTTGCAAGTACAGTAGTATACTGAAGCTGCAGTGTATATTATAAGTTGCTGTTTGCTGTAAATTGAACCTTTACTTTACTTTACCAACACAGGCAGGCATGTAAGTTAAATTAATTGATTGCCTGTCAGCGCATATACTGACCTCCCTACTATGATGCAACACTGGGTGTCTAATTCAAGCTGTGGAATGGGGGGGGGGAAGAGGGTCTTCAGCCTTGTGTAGGCTTATACTCTGAGTGACTAGGATCTACACTCGGTTTGTTCTCTTCGCCTCTACACGTGACTGGAGTGGCTGTGGAGAGAAGGGGAAGTAAGTACAAGCAGCTGAGGGAGTTGGGGGATATTTTACCATTAGCAAACAGGTTAACTGTGGAGCTGAAAGCTGGGTATCTATAAACATTTGCCTTGCAGTGCCCACTTCCCACAATTGCAAGGGTTAAATGCTGCAGGTTTCCATCCGTCCGAAAAAGCTGCTATTCTTTGCTGCTCAACCAGTTGCAACTCTCTAACATCATCATGTACTATGCAGGGCCAGTGGTGCCAAGAGAAAGCATGGAATAAGGTAATTGCTGTGCTTAGTCCAACCCACATAGGCTAAACAAGCATTTAGACCTAGCAGTTGGAAGGGGGGTGGCTGGTACTGCAGCGTGAAATTGTAGAGATACCCAGAGTTTAGTTTTAAGAGGATTGAGTTGTGGGAGAACCAGGTGTCACTTGCACATAGGTTCTCAAGAGCTGAAGGCAGTCAAAGTGGACCTACTATTTATGTTAAGTGCATGCATGCTAAGAAATGTGTGAGTGCAACACTTCTAGGGATCTCACAGAGACCACAGTACTTCAAATGACAATATCTTCATACGCTTTTCTGTCCAGAAGCATGGCACCATCTTTGTTTAGGCATTATCCAGGGTCACCATTTACTTGCTAGACTGAGATGCTTGTTCAGAGATGGCACAATCATGTAAATCCTAGAGCCTGTGCAGTTCTTAGCAATGGTGTTCACAAATGGCAGACAAAGATGAGCTTCTGCTGCAGCCTCCCACCTTGTACCTTGCCAAGTTAGTTTAAAAAGTTGTAGTCTGATTACTGAGGGAGAGGCACTGGGAAAATGCTTGCTCATGCCTGCAGTAGATTGATGATATCATCTCAGCCTTGGCAAAGTCAGCACTGGGGTCCTTCGAATCCAGCCTGGACACTCTGTATGGAGTTTGCATGTTCTCCCTGTGCTTATAAGGGGTTCCTTTTATACTCCAAAGACATGATGATGGCTAAATTGGCCCTGGTATCTGTATGCATGTGAGATAGGGGCCTTAGATTGTAAGCTCCTTGAGGGCAGGGACTGATGTGAACGAACAATATGTAAAGTGCTGTGATGCAGACTTGATATGGGAAAACATTATGGAAGTTCTGAACTCTAGGGACTCCTCTTTAGAATAGTAATAAAAAATCACCTCCCTAATATTTAAATATTAGGCATACTGAATACTTACATGCTTAAGTAATTCCGAGCAGGTATGGAACACTTTACCATCCCACACAAAGCTACAACATAAAATAAGATAAGAGGTAGTGGAGGGGTTGAGGTTGACAGAAAACAGTTCCCGCTAAGAATGGATACAGGAACACCTTACAATTTAAGTGGCTCGAGGGGGAGTCGGCTAACAAAAAGTTTTTGTTTTTTTTTCTTCAGAAAAATAATCAGGCCTAGGGGACGTAATTGTGCAGACGCACTCCAAGCAGAAAACACAGAGGAGTGCGGTAACGTTCTAGAATTAACTGATCAGGCCGCTACATTGAAAGCAAAGCATTTAATGTGCAAAGTCTTAACAGGCTGCAGTACAACAGAGGTCTCTGGCAAAGCAATTATGTCCAAGTGTGTTTTCTGCTTTATGCGTACATTGTAAAATACGCTTCCATTAAGGAAAACCACGGCCGTTGGGCTGCTTTTGCTCACGCTATGAATGAAGCCGGACAATTAGTCACAGGCAAGTCCTAAACAGCCTCAGAGAACTTTGCTGCCGCCTGTATTTGTCCTTTTATTGTTTTTATTTCTCCTTTTATTCTATGATTTTTTTTTTTTTGTGCTGGAAGGATCTTTTGTTGCTGTTTAGCATGTCTGTTTAGTTACCAGCCCAAATATGAAGTCATGGTTTGCCTTGCTTGGGAGATTACTGGACCACGAGGTTCTTTTGTTGAAACTTTTCAAAGTGTGGGAAATGAAAGCAGCAAACCTGGAACGTGCACGGACTGTCAATGGGGTAAGAGTGGTGCGTGGCCTGAGACTGAGAGACCTTTCCTTCTTGTCGCAACATATTAGGTAGTTTAGTGTTTGGGGTGCATGGATAAGGTATTAAAACTATGTAACGGAAAGGGTGAACTGTGCTAAAGAGAATCTATGGACTTTTTAGTGTTTCTTTTATACATACTGTATGTATAAAAAAATTGTCACTTCAATATTCCTAATGAAGCCTAGAGCATGTACGGTGTTTTACTCCATCAGTCATGCTGCACTGGATGTCATCTGTGTAGCTACCCACGGAGGCGCCGTCCTCACTACATTCTGACATGGGGCTATAAGCACATCATTCAAGTAGCATGAAGACCTTTTTTATGCATATAGCATTCTCTAGATAGAGAATATACAGTATATATTTCTCTATAAACCTGTAAGTTGTACAATCACGATCATTTGTAGTGCATAGTGACCCAGGTCATTCCATATACTTGAAACCATAAAACCTAATTTTGTGCTGTAGTTGTATAATAACTCTCTTATTGTATATGTGTTTCATTTGTTCATTTAGCTATTTGCCTTGAAGTTCAGCTTTTATTCAGTGAATTTCTATAAACGCTATCTGTGATGATAATGAGGTCTAAGGAACCTCAAGCTAAGTGGGGAGAATGGGGACGTTTTGCTGTGTCACCCTCAATCCTCTGAAGTTGGTAAGTCAGCAAGCAATGAGTCAGACCTGTGTTTGAGGTAGAGGGGACCATTTTGTGGAGATCACAGATCAGATTGAAACAACACAAGGCAGGCCATCATAAATCCTGTTAAAACATTCTAGTTAAAACATAGTGGCCTGGATCTGCACAACCTGTTAATGAACACAGTCATAAATGCTAAATGGAAAGCTAGAAACTTTTTATACAGTTGAATCGTAAATCGTCAATAATACAGTCAAGGAATGTTTTAAAGCAAATGTACCTCTTTTTTTAACTACTAGACTTAACCCCCCTATGTGATAGCAATAAAGTTTCCCCCCCAAAAATGTAAAGTTATAAATAAAAAAGAATTACATTTTTTTTTTAAAGTCCCCCCATACATACACGCATGCAAACAGGTGCACATACGTGTGAAAACGACGGGTGCGCATACGTGTGAAAACTACGATTTCGCCCATTACGCCGCACATGTTACATATCGCCGCGAACATCGGAATGAGAGCAATAATTGTAGGGCCATCAATCACTGATAACACTAAACTGATGAGCGGTAAAAGCTTTTAAAGCGTCACCTATGGTCAATTTTGGGCATGGTAATTTTTTGCGATTTTGCGGGTGCGCGCAATTTTAAAGCATGACATGTTTGGTGTCTATTTACCCAACGTGACCCCATCTTTGTATATTTTACCAAAAATATGGGTGATAAATGGGTGTGGTTACTGGGGGTGTGGCCACTTTAGTGGCCACTGAGGGGTGTGGTCACTGAGGGGCGCTGTAAAGCTTTCTCGCACAGGGCTCCTAAAGGCCTAAGGCCGGCCCTGGACCTAATCCCAATGTTTACATCCAGTTTACATATTCCTAAAAAGTGGCTACACTATTGATAAGAAAGTAACAATCAGTTTGATACCAAACATTCCTATTTATGTACAGCAGACATCTTGGTCACTGAGCTAAATCTTTGAATGCTCTAAATAAGTAATTAAAGAATCTGTGCCAGTTTGAAGAAAGCTACCCTATTTTAAACTATTGTATTCCTGTCTGGTGTGACTGCGAATGTCACCTAGTTTGCTGGCACTTAGGTTGTTGTCTCATGCGCAGGAAAATCTAGGTGTACGGTGAGGCTGGTAGTGCAGTTGCCACATTTTGAAGCAGTGGTGGCGATTAAGATTGCCGCTGCTGCCACATTGTAGTGGCAGCAACGGGATCTGAGAAAATACATTTCATGAATAGCTAATTTCTGGAAGGTAATTCCATCAATTCCAAGCAGCAAATGGTTTTGAGGTCTTAGAATATTATCTACTTATTTTTTTTTTTTTAAATGCATACTTTGTGTTACTACTGTTTAATACTAACAATTTTGTTTCTTTGCCTCTTAGGTTCTCATTCGTGTTCTTGACAACAATGATAACGGCCCAGAGTTTTCCCAATCCAGTTATGAGGCCACCATCTCAGAAGACGTCCTCCCGGAAACGGAGATTTTACAAATTAAAGCCACCGATAAAGATGAGAACCACAAACTAAGTTACATCGTCCACAGCAGCATTGACCCAATGAGTATGAAGAGGTTCCGCATTGATCCTAACACAGGCACACTCTACACAGCAGAAAGGTTGGACCATGAAACACAGGCCCATCACACTCTCACCATCATGGTAAGATCTGTGACCATTTTAAAATGCATGTAATCCCTAAATCTATTTTCTGTATGTTTGGCACTATGCCTCACTGTGTACAGTTATTTAAAGGAAATATGTTTTTGTGACTATTTTGAAAGGTCCTTACCTGGAGATCCTGCCAGTAACATAGTAACAGCACTTCCTGTTGTAAGAAATCTGTATACAGTGAGGCATGATGGAGAAGACATGACATGCTGAAAAATAGATTATAGGGTTTAAATAATTTCAGATGCCTATGTGCTTAAATTTCCTCTAAGGACCGCTTCACATAACAAACAGTGCTTTCCAGAGCGGTCAACCTCTGGAACGCACTGTATCGCAAACCCGGCTGGCTACCTTGCATTCAGAGGTGAGAGGGGGTGTGGCGGTTCATTGAAGTCAATGGCACTGCAGCCATGCCCCCTGCCCGCAGTGCGATCTCCTGTGCACGAACGCGTGGCACATTAATGCCTGCGTTCCGGTCCGGTACGATCTGCAAAGGTGGTGTCCTCATGGAAGGTGTCAATGTAGATGTTGATTGTCCAAGAAGAAGTCCAGCTGAATGTGACTACTTCTCACTATAGAATGACCTGAATAGATGAGAACCTTCAAAGACATAACAAAGACTATGACATTGTTTTATAAGAATCATATGTAACTAATAGAAGTTTTTAATAAGAGTATATTTTATAACACATTTTTATAAAGAAAGTTGGTTGGTGAAACGACAGGTGGAAACCTCCGCTCCGTTTTACTCCTCACTGACCTGAAATTCTGTTGGATGTCCATGAGGGGCTGAGCGTATATATAATGTATCGCTTTTCTTCATTATCTATAATAGGTGAAAGATCAGGAGTTCCCATACCGCCGCAACCTGGCTCGTGTTATGATTACAGTGGAAGATGCTAATGACCACAGCCCGTACTTCACCAGCCCGCTGTACGAGGCTTCGGTGTTTGAGTCCGCTGCTATCGGCTCTGCTGTTATACAAGTCACTGCCCTGGACAGAGACAAAGGAGAAAATGCCGAGCTTATCTATTCTATTGAGACAGGTAAGGTCATTGTACCTGAAGAGGTCAGTCCACCCAAACCAGTAAATAACTACCGCAGAGTTAAAGTGGCAGTTTAATCTTTTTATATTATGTCTTCCCTGTTTCTTCCTTTCCTCCCTCTTCAACATGCTAACAACCATTTTAAATAAAACCTTTCCATTTCCATTAAGTATTTCATTTTAGTCTGTGCTTCTCAATGCAGTGCAGGCAGATCATGGCTGGTGGGAAGAGCCGGTGTTCTATCAAAGATTGTGACTGGGTTGGAATGTGTGACCGGTCACGTGGTCACACATTTTAACGTAGTCACGCCCATTCTTTCCGGGGTTAAAATATGTGACCGGCAAAAGGTGTAGAATTCCAAGCTTTCTCAGCTGTTCCAAGGCAGATTTAAAATGTGTGACCATGTGACCGGCCACACATTCCACCGCCGAAAAACTGGGCGGAATTATGTTAAAATGTGTGACCAGATGACTGGTCACACATTCTAACGCAGTCGCAAACTTTGATAGAACACCGACACGGTGCTGCACATAGCTTCCTGAACACATCACAGCACCCACTTCAGTACTCCTCTCAAGAGCCCTCAGTGCTGATGAAAGCAGTGGGCTGTCTCTTGGGAGGAGTTATGCAAACATCAAAATGCCTTGATGGGTAGATGTCAATCTGGAGGAATGGGCATTCCTAGTAAATGCTCAGATACCTTGCACGATACCGGAAACATAGGGGAACATGGAGCTGGGTAGTCTGCTCCATGCTAATTGACCTGGAAGCTGGCTTCCCAGCCAACCAGCATCAAGCTGGCTGAACAGCCGAATCTTTGCTGATTGGCTGGGAAGCCGGCTTCCCAGCCAATCAGCATTGAGCCGGCCGAACAGCCAGGCGGCATGTCATTACCTTTGGCCCGGCTTCCTGGTTGCCCGGGAAGCTGGCTCCATGCCAGCGGAAGCATTGGTATTGAGTATCAGCGAGTACTGAAAGCAAAATATCGGTACTCATACTCGATACCAAAAAACTGGTATCGGTGCATCCTTAATGAATATTGACATATCACACCCTCCTCCCTTGTCACAACCCCAAAATTGGTTCAGTTCCACTACCTTCCAAGGTACGACTTTGAATTACAACACAACACGCAACCTGTCTGGAGAATTGGTGGTGTTTTGTAGTGTTTAATAAAGAAGAACTCTAGGTAAACACATGTTTAACTCTTGCAGTGGGGCTTTTTCATCTTCTATATGGTTCAAGAAGAACTCCAGGATTTTTTTTTAACACTTTCAGTGGGGCTACCCCTGTATTGCAAAGATTAAGTGCATGTTTTTTGCCTGGTGTAAAAAATAACAAAGTTATACTCACCCAATGCTCCGAGCCAGCCTGCTGTGACAGTGCTCCCTCCAGCCCGTCCCCACCTCTGCTGCAGCGATGATATGGCCCATGGCGTCCTCATGTCCTTTACACGGTGTATAGGATGTGATGACTCAAGGGATCTTAGAACGCTGCAGCAGAGAGGAAGCGAGGCAAAGCGACCGGTCTAAGAGCTGGCTGGCTCGAAGGATCAGGTGAGTATAACTTTTTTTAAATTTTTGACCCTGGGTAAAAACAAGCGCTTAACCCTTGCAGTACGGGGTAGCCCCACTGCAAGTATTAAACAAAAAATTTCCTGGCGTTCTGCTTTAAGCTCATGGGTGGATAAACAGATGACTTGTCAATCTTTGCAGCTGCATAGCACGTGCATAGTACCGTGCCAAGCTGGCTCAGAGAAAGACCTGTACACTAAGGCTGGGCACACACCTTACAACCATCGCAAGACTTTTGTCTTGCGATGGTTGTAAGGTACTTAAAAAAAACGTACGATCTGCCTATCTTGCATAGGCAGATCGTACTTGCGCTGATCGCAAGCCACGTTTCCTGAGGGGCGGGCTTCCGATGACCGCAATGCCAATGCCACACCGGCCCGTACGGCTGTTATCGTACGGACATGCCACAAACCCGCCGAACATCGTACGATGCTCGGCGGGTTTTCGAACATGTCCGTAAGTTTAAAGTCGTGCGACCTTACAGTAGTAGAGGTCGCACGGCTTCCACACACCTTACGATAATCGTACGATCGCGGGATTTCCAGCCATTATCGTATGATTATCGTAAGGTGTGTGGGGACCTTAAGACGGATCGCTCTTCTTTAAACATAGAGAAGAGAAGATGAAAACCTATAGTTTAGGGATTTTGGCGGCGGAATGTCTCATTTATTTGTCTATTAGTCCTTCATCGGCATGCAGTTTTTGTTTAATCTCCTATTTTTATTCAGTGCACTCCAGAGGACAAACCAAAAACCTCAAATAACAACCCATGGGCCCAGCACAGCCTATTGGGTTTCTGTCTTAAATGCGTATTTACAAGTATAGATATATAAATCTCTCCTGAAATACAGAGTGGTATTCTCTTGTTTCCCTCAAACATGTTTTTAAAGCCATCTGCAGCCGAGGAAATCATTTGTTGTGCTCAGCTTGTATCTGCGGCACGGAGCTAGGCAGGAAATTCTATATCGCCCCTTGGAACAAGACCACAACCCGGTATGGAGTAGTTATTAAAGTGCCTGCTACAGCCGTCCACAGCCTGGAACCCCAGCCATGCATGTAATTGTCTATTTGTTTGTAATAAGTGCGCCTTGAGGCTTTATTAGTGTACGCTTGTAATGGAGAACCTGGTGGTAGGCAGCAGGGGGGGTGAGGCAAGAGCCCATTTTAAGGTCCTTGTAGATAAATAATAATAAACATTTTCTTCTTCTTCTACGGGCTGGACCTTTAAAAAAAAAAAAGACTATTATTGCCAGTCATGTGATTGATGTCAAACAAGAGGGACAGCTGCTGATTGGTCGGCTTTGCCTGAACATCACAGTTTAGATCATGTCATGTGACCTGCTGCTGGAGGATGAAAAGATCTGTAGATTCTTTGGGGAAGCTTAGTAGTTGGAGAAGATTAGGGTGGAGAGGGATTTGAAATTCTAGTACAGGGGTAGGCAGCCTCAGCTGTTGTGCAACTACAGGTCCCATGATGCATTGCAAAAAGACTCATCACTGTGCTGCTCCTCCTTTCGCTGTCTTGTCACAGACTGGAGACAGGTCCAACCTGGGCTCAGAGGAAGTGTGTTGAATGATGCTGGTCATCAGACTGAGGACATCTTGTGGCAGAATTTTTGTTTGCAAATGCTGATAGGAGGAGGGAGCAGAGTGTGCTGATTTTCTCTTCTTTTGACTGTCACTGTGCTGCTTTTCTTTTCTTTTGACTGTCAAGTTACAGGCTGGGGACATGTCCAGGACAATTTGAGCTTCTAATCCCATACTTCTCTATCCAAACTAAAAGAAAATACGTTTTGGCTTTAGAAGCATTTTATTGTTGGCTGTGTATGGACCACTGTGGCCTTTAAAATGTCTATGTTTTCCTCCAGAGGCCCCCCTAGTGGGTAATGTGGTTGAAGTCATAGGCTAAGCACTCCCTGAAATATACACTGCATTGGATGATGTTATTAGGGCAATCATCAGGGGGGTACGCTGAATGAATATATATATATA